TCCTTCTCCTTCTCCTTCTTCTTCTTCTTCTTCTTCTTCTTCTTCTTCTTCTTCTTCTTCTTCTTCTTCTTCTTCTTCTTCTTCTTCTTCTTTTTGAGGCAGGTGTCCCTGTATATTCTAAGCTGGCCTTGAACTCACTATGTAGCCCAGGTTGGCCTCAAATTCACCGCAATCCTCTTGCCTCAGCCTCTTGAGAGCTGGGGTTACAGGTGTGCGCCATCACACCCAGCAACGTCCCTCTGGGAAGGGGACCAACATCAGGACATCTGGCAACGTCGGTTTGTTCTGCTGCTTCAGAAGCCCACACTGGGAAAGCCACACAGAGGTCCCCTTGTGCCAGCTTCTCCTGCTCGGTGTCACCTTAGCGAGATTAATCTGTGTTTTTCCTTTGCCAGCTGGAACCCGTTCTCTTTGTCCCTGTGCAGTGTTGCGAGCGCTCGGTCGTGCAGAGGCACGGCATTTGCCTCCTGGTGTGCACTGCTTGGCACGCAGGCTGGGTCAGGAGGGCCAACCCTGCAAAGCCCGTCTGGGGAATCCAAGCTTGCCGACGGGCACGGGGCATGTGGTGTGCAGTCGGAGAGGCCTCTGCTGGGACAGGGAGCTAGCAGGACTTCAAAGTAGCCGCCAGAAAGGGATCAAGCAGGCAGCTGTCCTTGGAGCGATCTTCAAGAATGGGAAAAAAGCAAATAGTTAATCAAAGGGGAGCCACTGCACTGCTGAGATGGGAAGCAGGACCCACGGGAAGGAGCCCAGGGCAGCCTGGAGGGAGGGGCCGAGGCTGCCCAAAAACGAGGCACCGAGGGGAGCGAGGGTCCACGCAGGAAGAGCAGCCGGTGAGGACCTCCAGTCCCGTGCAGCCCGGGCAGGGATTCAGCTCTGCAGAGCGTAAACCCTGAAGTACAGCAGGAGCGACAGCTTTGCGGGAGAACTCAGCCGCCGCTCTGGCTGTGTCAGCATCAGCAGAACGGAGACGCCCACACGCAGCCAAGGAGCACGGCCTGCGCAGAGCTCTGACTCTGGCTCCCCACACCCCTCGTGAGCCCTCGGCGAGAGCCTCAGAGTGTAAGTCTTGCTCCTTGGAGCCAGTGCAGTCAGGGCCGAGAGGGGCCAGCAGGACTGGCTGGCACACGGTATGCCTGGCACCAGCAGGAAGTTGGCCAGGGCAGGGCTGGTTCCCCCCGGGGAGTCTGGGAGGAGGAACCTCTGAGGACAGTGGTAGCCGGTGGAGCTGTGCTGG